AATTAAATTTTTATGACCGTTTGAAATTCAAATTTTTACAACATTGGATATTCACTCGATTTTCCCATGTGGCGATTTCCTTATTTTGTTGTAATTCAAAAACGAATAACTGTAGACACATGCAAATTTCACTGAATGGTTATATTAGCATTTCTTATACACCATACACTATTGAAAATATTTTGTCTCTTTTTGAGCTGTTTACGGACATTTTCAGTTTCCAATTTTTTAGTTTTTTTTTCCAATAATATCAATAAAGTTTTATCTGTGCTGCCAAAAAGTGTAAAAATTTAATACAAGGCTCTTGATATATTGTTAAAAAAGTAGTTGAAAAATATTAAAAATACATAGGAACAATTTTTTTTTATATTTTAGTTCAATTTTAACAAAATTTATCACATTTAAAATTTAATAATAGGTTTGGTAGTTAAAAATGTATACATGTTCAATGTTTATAGCTAAGGATTTAAAATTTAAAACAAGATTCCACGTAAATGTTTATAGATAAATTACTTTTATTTATAATCATCAATATACTTCCTAATATCATAGGCTGCCTGACCGTTTCGCTCAGAATTGTTTTTCCTGTAGTTAATGATATTATATCATTGAATTCAAAATTTAACACCATCCATTACAGTGACCCGCTTGTAACCTACTGTATAGCAAAGCGACTTTTTTTTCACACACTTTTGAACCGACAGCCAGAGGAAGGTCTGTTTAACATTTATCCACAACCAAAAATCACATACATATTATATACATATCATAATATTAACCAGGAAATGTGGACTGAGCTTTGTCACCTAGTAATGCCTAGTCTCGTTTTTCGCTCATATTCTCGGCCCTGTGTCGCACGCACCCTCCGCGCCCTCGGCTTGGAATCTAGTTCTGCTGATTTGAAGCGGCTCTAGCTTCGATCCTGTTCCTACGCTAAGTATCCCTTCACTATTCATGAAGGCCTGCCTGGTCTCTGAGAGGCAGCCTGTATTTGATCGTTAATGTACATGTGGGACCACATAGCAGATCCTGTAAGTCACTTGAAGTTACTTTCGGTTAAATATGAACCCGTATTGATTCCCAGTGAGCACAGTCGAAAATTGAGTGTTCGGCCGTATTCATTGGCATTAGGGACAAGCCGCATTCGGGGTGCATTGGGTATTTACAGGAACATTAAATGTTAGACTTTTTATAGTTTGTTTTGGATTTTTGTATGATACATTTTTAAGTTGAGGTAAAAATGTTTCAAAAATTAATGCAAGGTTCATATAAGTTTTTTTTAATTGAAAGAAAAAAAGCGAATTCGTTAATTTTTTATTAGCGCCTATTGTTTTAATTTAGACGAAATTGGATATTATTCACGTGTAAAATAACGATCTCGTCAAACGATTTTCTTATTTTGTTGTAATTTTAAAACGAATAACTGAAGTAAGGTCAGGTGGGGTCAGAGCCTAACGGTGCTAGTGCCTAATCGGGTTATAAAAAATACAATCTTTTAATTTTAAAGTTCATTTCATGAAGATTACGAAGTTTATAGTAATCGAATGTTGTATTATATTGGTACAACTTTAGGATATCAAACATTGCTGTTATCACTATTTAAAAAACCAATCAGTTATTTACTCGTATTTTTTTGAATCGACGATAATTCAACGGTCTAGTTAACCCACCTAAATTGCTCAAAATCATTTCAAATTAAATAAATAAATGTTATTTTATATTTATAATATTATTTCATTTATGAATTATGCTAATTGTATGATACAAATGGGTATTAGCCGATTATACACTTCCAACTGTTAAGTTTCACACTGGGAATGTGCGACATAATTTTTGGGGAATGTGTGACATGCCTTAATTTGTTAAATAGTTAAAAAGATTTTATAAATATTGTTTGTGACTAAAATATTTATGAATTATGAGTTACAAATATTCATTTTTAAATATGTAAATAGTTGAAATTTATATCAACCAAAACTTAAAAAAACTAATATGTATTAACTATAATAACTAAAAAAAAAATGATGGTCGGTTAAATCTTGATAAAATTAAGATAATTGAATTCTTTCAAGATTTTCATTAGTTTATGGCACTTGCCCCGCCCAAGGAATAGCTTGTATATAACTGCATTAAAAGTACCGGTTTTGCACTTAAAACGGTAGCAGGGAAAGTGCGAGAAATGTTTTTTTTTTTTTTTTTTTTTGAATAATTTTTCATAAAAATTATCAAAACACTTTTTTGAATACAATTTGAATTCCTGACACGTTCATTGATGGATGATAAAAAACTATGTTCCACGTAAGAATACAGTAAGATAGTATGTTCCATTAAACTGAGATTTTGCAAAACCACGTCCCTGTTACTTAAAAATTTCCTGAAAAAGTGTATATCACCTTTTTTAGGTATGGTAAAATTTTTAAAATATTTTGACTAAGTTATTTGTACTCTTCTTCTATAAATGTCGATCTAAAATAGTTTGCTCGGTCCAAAATCTTTAAATACAGCTTATAAGATACCTGGGTAGTGTTTATACAAGGTTTATTATAAGTTGTTAAATTGAAATAAATTGATAAATTGTTCTCTGCACAAATGTCCAGAATGAAGTCTCCTTATTTGTTTCTCATTTATCTCTCATACCTCTGTAGTTCTGTAATATGCTCCTAAGATGTCCATCAATGTGTATAAAATGTGTATGGTGTTATTTAATTATTTTGTATAAACTATAGTTTTACACATGTCATCTGCTTTGGAGAGTCAAATCTGTGGTCACAGTATCAACACACTTGTTATAGCTCATTAAAGGATTCCATACTATAATAATTCCAAGTCTGGACAAATTAATAACAATTTTTAATTGAGTTAAGTAAGTTGATAGAAAACGTTCAAAAAAGTTTAAAGTTAATAGTTATCTTAATTTTTTTTTAAGTCAGTTAAAGTTACATGGAAATTTACAGTTAATTTATTAATATATAAATAGTTTTTACTATGGTTTGAAACAATAAAAAGTAAATGCTTATGCAATGAGTATCATTAATAATGATTGTATTATATTTATTATTTAATTATTTATAAACTTACGTGACTTGGATTTGATTAAAAGTAATTCGTTATTTATTAAGTTTATATCAATAAAAATCAGTTAAGTTAAAAATTAAGTTAATGAATATTACATTTTAACTCGTTTATGAACAAGCTTGCTTAATTCTATGTAAATACCTAATACAATGAAGATAATACCACTCTACTGCATTCGTCATGTAAATATTGATGAAAAACTGACTTTATAAAATTAATACCATTGACGTTTGTATCAGATGATCATCTTAAATGTTAGTATGATTTGACAATCGTTTATTTAAATTTTAAATATGTACTTATTTGAATAAATATTAAATACCCTATAAATAATATACCAATATCCTTTCTGAGTAAGTAAATTATTGAAGTTTAAAGTTGAACATTAATTGGACGGTTTTTAAGAGAAAGTGCCTAAGTCAATTTCGGACATTTGCAGTTTAATGTTTATACATTAATTGTGTGTGAAATGTCAAGCCACGCTGAATGATACCACTGTAGATGCCATGTGGGATTTGGTTTACGAGATAAAATAGAATGCTTATGGTAATAAGTCATTATACAGAATTTTTTTTTTATGAGAAAAGGCCTAAGTCACAAACTATAACTTATTTTAATGAAAAGGGGCATATAAGTCTTATAAAATTACATTCAATAGGTCTTAAGTCATTATAATTTGAAGTAAATAAATAAATAATAAAATATATTTAGTAGTAAAATAACAAAACAAAAAATAACATGATTATGAATACAAAATTTAAAAACATTAAAAATTTACAAAGTTATAATGTTTTTTTGTGTCTCCTGAAAAGTATCAATTTTTAACTTAAGCCCTTTCTCCTAAAAACCGTCCAATTAATAAACTACCTACATATGTGTAATTATATTAACTTAATAAACAAAAATGTTTAAGCATATCAAATTTGTTTTATTAAAATTCATAACTGTTAAGTATATTAATTTAACAATGTCTCTACAAACAACGATTTATTGTGTAAAACATTTAATACTTTTTCCAGTACATACTGTTTTATTTCGTGGACATATTTTATACATGTCTACTTTTAAACAATTTATACATTTGCTGGTTGCTGACCCCTAATTTAACAGTCAATGGTAATCATTTTAAATTCCTTTAATTGGGCATCACTAATCACTAAACATTTGTATGGCATCTGTAAATATAACTAAATGGAAAAAGGCATAGTTGGATTCATAGTGTCCAAATTCTAAACTTTACTACAATATATTATACATTATTATTACTATTATAATACTATAAAATATAATTAGATATTTATATTTCTGTGGAATGATAGCAGAAGATGATAATATTGTGTATAATATTATGTACATTTTGTTAATTTATAAATAATTATCATTTAAATAGTTAAGAAATCGTATATTTAAAGTGGTGGAAAAATATGATATGTCTCTATTATAGTATTATGTGTATGGATCTTGTGTTACTTGTATTTATGTGCAAAAGACTAAAACTGATATGCCATTATTTGAAAATAGATGTTGCGGCAAAACTAAGTTTGTAGAATGTACATACCAGCTTCTGCCATCTTTCCACAGATTTTATATATTTGTATAGTATAGTTGTTAATGCAGTGGTGCTAAACTTAAACAAAGTTATAGTCAATAGAACTCAAAACTTAAAATTTGTTCAGTTATAATAGTAAATTTAATTTTTGGTCAGGTGGTAAATCGACGAATTTATCCTATTATAGTAATATTGCGTTGTTGTTCTTAAACAATTTTTATTTATCTGGGGTAAAAACTTTAAAGAATAAGGATTAGCTCTTAAATTTCCATTTGTCTTTCTAAATTAAAAACGAATTATCAATTAATATCTACTTTAATTGATTTTGGTTTTCAGCTACATACACATACATAATTATTGATTCAAAAATTCATAATCAATCCTCATCATTTTCAGTTGCTGGTATTCTTATCATGACTCTTGTAATCTCACTATTGTCCATGTCTATGTGTGTATAAAGTTTGACAATCTTATCAAAACCGTCAAAAACGAATTTAAAAAATGTTTTTAGGTATTGGGAGTTAAGTGCCGAATTGATCGCTTGATAAACTCCGACAGCTTTTCTCCTATACACTTTTGAGGTGGAGGCATTTTTAAACCATACAATAACTGATACAAGAGTCATCGCGAGTTCCTTAAGGTTTTCGGTTAATGATTCTGGTTGTGTCGGTTGAACGGCGGAAATAGAAGATTTCGCTGACAATCCCGACTGAGTTTTCTCAACAGGATCTATCGATTTCGACTCGGATTTTACATCAGACGGCAATGGTTTCTTCGATAATGATTGAACAGATGGCTCAACGATGGAAACCTTCTTATTCAACGATTCAAGTGATTCCTTGACAATTCTTGGTTTAGAAATTATTGAATTTTCTTCTGTATTTGTTCCGAACGAAATTGTCACACGAATATTTTATGCGCATAATTCATACAATTCTGATGTCTCAAAACTATAAAACAAAATATAAACGGAACCACGTATCAGTTCTATAGAATAATAACAATAAATATGAATTAAAATGTAAAATATGTATCATAGTGACTGTAGTTCATAGACCATTTAATCCCCCCTCCCCTTAGGCCCCACCCACGTGGGCACGTGGCTAAACTCACTCGTAGGCCATTCGAGCCCGTCGATACGTGGCCATCATTCCGTTCAGCCTTGCGGTGACTGTTTTGAGTCGCTTGTCCGTCGCATCCAGCCGGTCGTCCTTGAACTTTTGCAAAAGGTTGATCAACATTTGGATCCTGACCGAGGGTGGTACGGCCTCGAAAGTCAGCCGCCGGGCTGCGTTCGTCCAGTAGTTGTTTTCTTCGTCATCGTCGACAACTGTAACCAACACCGGCTTTTGACGATGAAGCTCTCTGGCGATCGCGGCGGACACTAGGTCGTGCCTGATCGTCAAAAAGACGATCAATACGAACAACGCTCCCGCGACTATATACGAGAGAGATGAGATGATCGCCAGTATAATAGTGTAGATCACCGACATGATATTATACCTGCAGTATAGTGACTAATTGTTATAGTTGTCAATTTTAACATTGAAATAATTTTATAATATACTTAGTATAGAAAGGTAGGTACTTAAGTTTACTTAATTGATTTAGGTACCTAGCTATATGGCTATAGTATATAAAGTGTTTCAAAATATATCATTAAAATGTCGTGTACTAATATGACTAGTCAAGTGTAAAGTGTTAAAATATTTGTGTATTTTTAAACTGGGGGTGATAACCCATAAGTGCCTCTCCAAAATTACTGATATAACTGAATAAAATATGTGGGTAAATACATTTAAAAATAATTAGGTATTTATTATCCATTTTCTTTTCAATATAATATATTTATATTATGATATGAAACTGTATTACTTGTAAGTTGTGCATATTGATAAAGAATTATTATATAAGTTAACATGTTTTATGACAAAAAATTCTCGGATATCATCATTAAATAAATATTTATAAAAGAAAAGAGGAGATGTATTATATATGCTGTGTACCGACCCTACTCCGCCAATACACATAGTTATAATGTGCAATATATTATAATATACTATATATATGAACACACACATATAGGTAATCAGAATAATGTCAGCATCACGACGAGACCCCGGGAGATAAATAGTTCTTAGTATTAGTCGCAATATCTGGCCTGGACCACATGTGACAAAACGGGCTACCACGAAGAACTAGTAGAATATAGTATACTGTTGGAAATTCTCGGGTGTAGTAGATTTTGATAGTCGAACTTCGTACTGTGACAGGACTACAAGATTAACGAAACCCCGCATCGACCATAGGACTAGCCTGAAATAGGCACATCTGCAACCCTGGATTACAGATCCACACATGCACTAGGAGTATGGTGAAATTAGCTATTTATGGAAGGTGACCACACGGACCATGGAAAACGGGGGCACAAGTCGCAAGGTACAGGTAGAGTAAAGGGTTTGCACTATATAGGAGAGACCTTAAACGGCCCATCCTCAGACATGATTCCGCCAGAACTCTGGTCGATTCACACTTTCTTTGAATTAGATTAATTCAATCAACGACGTTTTTTCGGGGCTTTTCTAAAACACCAACGACCTTCGTTGATTTACATAATCTTGATCAGTTAAAAATTACATTTTGTTGCAAATATCTTGTTAATAAACGACAGACATACAATATAATTTCACTCAGTATATGTTTAATATATCAACTACCCATTATCCTATCCTATCACCATCTCCGGTAAGAGAGTGTACCGTGTACGCTATATATAAAACCAAAGTATGTATGAAATTATGTATTTAAGTTTTAAATGTTATTTTTGTATTAATTATGAAAATGTTTTCAATAACTAATAAGTGTTTGACTATAATTACTATATAACATAGGCAGTCCTGTAAAGAATACTTTTGAAAAGTACTTGAGTAAGTACTCAAATACATTTTTTTTTTAAGTATTTAAGATACTACTCAAATACTTTAATTGTATAGTATTTCAAATACTACTCAAATACTTTGAAAAAGTATTTGGAATACTTTTCAAATACTTTTGGTTTTTAAAGTGGGTTTCTAATTATTGTAATATAGACACATAGGTAGTAAATTTATAATCATTTTTAATTATTATTTATTAAATAAATGTTTATTACATTTTTTTTTTTATTTTTACATGAAATTTACAATCTGTTCTTAACTAGAACAATAAGCAAATGTGCATAGGGTATTTGAGTATGATTTTTTTTTGAGGGAAGAAACCACCCATTGGTGATACTACCTATTTTGTGTTCTTAATTCATTCTAAAATTTCTAAAATTATTTCGAATAAAAATAAAATGTTCGAAATAAAAAACTAAAGTATTCAATACCAAAAAGTATTTAATACAAAAAAAAGTATTTAAAATACCATTCAAAATACTTCATGCTGAAAGTATTTAAAAAGTTATTCAATACTTAAAAAAGTATTTGAATACTTTTATTCAAATACTTTTACTCAAATACTTTACAGGACTGAACATAGGTAGTGAAATTAGTTACTTTTGGTTCTAAGATAGTGAGCCTATCCTACAGATTCGTAGGACATGTTTGACAATGTAAAATAAAAAAGCGCGTGAGTGGATGTTGCTCTGCTGCACAGAAGGTTACAAGTGGGTCACTGTATAATGGATGGTATTAAATTTGAATTTAATGATATAATATATTTGTACATGAAAAACGATTCTGAGCGGAAACGGTTTATCAGTGTGGATATTTTGTATTGTTATTACTTATCTTCTATCTATATATATAAAATGACTTGTCCTGAGTGATTCATCATCGCCTAGCCGGAACTACTGGATGGATCTGGCTAAAATGTCCTCCTTAAGTATAGTATTCTCGGCCTTTAGATCGGTGACAAGAGAAGAAAGCTCCTTTAAATCACATTTAAGTTCATTAAATTTTGATATATGCACTGTGGATTGAGATTCGACGGATCTTAGGAATTCCTTGGGGAAAGACTGAAGTGTTTCCATCAGGTCGTTGGAGGAAGTGGAACATTGCAAGTTTTTAGAATTACTCCTTGTATTAATTTTAGTTAATATCGGAGTAATGTTTTTTTGACTGGATGAATTCATTATTAGAACACAGCATTAAACTACTATTAAAAGCTCCTTATAGATAGAATACGCAAACAAAACTGCAGCAAGGTGAAACGTTTAATAGAATAGTACAGGTAAGAAAGTAGGCCCAAAGAACAATGTTGTGACGTCAGATATAGCAATAAGCGTACCTTATCACAGGTAGGTGGTTAAAGAAAAAATGAAGCTAAAACAGCTGATCGACAACAAGAAGAACACAGAAGTGATAATGATACGGCTTACGTGATAGCTGAAATTTTCCATTTGAAAACAAGTTTCAGAAGCGAAGTTGTGCCATGAACTATTCCGCAACCACGAGCGTGGAAACTCCGATTCAAATTGAGTTGGATGATTATAACTTAAATGGGTTAAGCTGTCAGCACAATTAATTCAATACGAAACAAAAATGAGTGTAATGAATGCACTGTTATCACTATTAAATATACAATATTGGTTTTTAAATACAAAACATAATATGAATTTTACATTTGGAATACTTAGTGGTTCTTCTAATAATCTAGATAAGAGAAGATGAGAAAAGATTTTCAGTTATCTGCTTTTTAAAGAAGTGGTAAAACAGAGATCTTAAGATTCACGGTGGAAATTACAACTTTTTTTTTGCTTATTAATGGTTGCCTTTGGATGCAGATTATTTATGTGAATCATTACACAAGCTGGGTACAATTACGTCGGTTTGTCCGTAAAAATGAAATAAAATAACCCCCCAAACATATTAATTTGTAAATATTAAATATTCCTAAAAATCCGGGATGACTCCAATACTGTTTTAGGTACACTGTATACAAATATTTTTTCAACTACAAAGCTGTAGGTACTAATATAGGCTATAATTTATCTACCACAGGTACTGTTTGCATAAATTAACGGTCAAACCCACGCGGGATGGCAAAAATTGAAATTTAATATGATTTTGCTTCCAAACATTTTCACAGCGAATTTCACAAAAAAAAAAAATTAATAATCACAATTTTTTTCCCGGGTTATTCAGCTAGTTATTAAAACGGTAGCCAGTAAGTTAAATTGATATTATACAATTACAACAAAATAACTAAAATGGTTGTTCTAGGTTATTTAATATGTAATTTCGTCCTATAGTTTCTGTCTTATAGACATTTTTTTTGTTGATAAAGGTAGTCAAACTTATAAGGAATCTTATTCTTATATTACATTTTCAAATATTAGATTTAAAAAGAAAATTTCTAGGAATTTCTATCTCAAAATAATTTGCACCTTTCCGTGATTTTGACGTATTTTGTCAAATAACTAAATTGTTTTAGAATTCTTTTAAATGCTTAAAAAAATGTGACAATGTATTTTTAATATTTTTCAACTATCATTGTAACAATATTTTAGGAATCCTGTATTAAATTTTCAAGTTTTTTGATCCAACGAATAACATTTTATTGACATTTACTTATAAAAAAAAAAACTGGAAATGTTAACTATTCAAAACAAGTCAAAATATAGTACAAAAAAGGCTACATAAACATTCAGTGACAATTTCATGTATCTAAGGTTATTTGTTTTAAAATTACAGTAAAAACCAAAATCGATTTTGACGAAAAACGATTTTCGGTAAAAATTAAAGTTTTTTATTAATTTTTGTTTTGTGTTTCCCTGCGCTTTTGAAAAGTTTGGAGAATTGCAAATTTTGACCTTCCAAATGCACCAACTAGATTCATTTTCCCACCGAATAAGAAAATAGAAGCAGTGTTACTGCCCAAAATGGTGATAACAGACACAAAAATACTAATAAAAAAAAACACACATTATTGTAAAATCAATACATCCGCTCAGAATCTAAAAAAATGAAAAATATTGTTTTTACTTTAAGTCAGTGATATACGTACTTGATTATCTTATAAGATCATCAAGTTTCCGATTTGAAGACACATAGTACTAAGAGCGACCGTCACTTGTCTTAATTAAGGTACAATTATTTTAAAACTAATAAAAACAAAGATTTTAAAATATAATAAAATAGAAACAATTGTTTACCTGATATTCTATTATTTTAAATCTAACATTATCAATAATAAATAATTTGAGTTGTCAAGGGAAATATTTTAAAGAACTAAAATAACTTAGACAGACATGGAGTACATAATGTTGTATTTTTATTTTTATTTAGTTTTAATTTACTCACAATGAATAAAAATAACAAATCAATGAGAAAAAACAACAAGTCATATTTAAAATAATAAATACTCCAAAAATATTATACTTATGTTATATTATATTTATTTATCAACTAGTTGTTGGCTGTCTGGGTAGAGTGACATACAAATCAGACCATTATTAATATTATTTTAATATCTTCACAGACAACAATAAAGCAATAGGTTATAAAAGATTAGAATTTAGAATAGTATTAAAAAATTTGTGGTAGGTACTTAAATTTATATACAATATAAGTAAAAATTGCTTTTGTCGTATTATTTTTATTTTTTTTAAAATAAATACTTACATTCAAAATTTAAAAAAAAAAGGTGGACAAGTGGGTATTGCTCTGCTATACAGAAGTTGTCATTCATGTCATTGTAATGGATGTGATATTTGAATTCAATGGTCAATCATGTATACTAAAAACGATTCTAAGCGGAGTTGATGTGTCATTTTTTAAAACTATTCTTACATGGGACTACAGGTGCAATACAGTTTTTTTTTTTGGAAAACCGATATTCAATCGCTTATTTGTAACAGACATTTTTTTGAAGCAGTTACCGCTTAATCGGTAACCTATAATATTAAATATAGACAAAAAAAGACAAAAACATATTTGATGAACGTATTTTATGCTACAAGATTTTAATCTATGATGTCACATACATAGTTTCTGATGATAAGTATTCTAATGTAATCATATAATATTTTGTATTAATTTTAATTTTCTTAAAAATAGTATCAAATCTACAAAATTACAAAAATTATAGAAAATTATAAGAAAAATTATCTTCAAAGAGATTTCAAGAAATTAAATTACATACAATAAAGTCTTGTGGTCTGTAATACGTAAACAGCAATGAAAAAAAACCTAAAAACAAAAAAATATATAGTAAATTGATCTTTTAAAATTAAGAAAAACTAATGAAGAATATTATACATAAATTATATTTTTATTTTTTATCGATACCTATGTGTGGTAGGTAGGTCCAATGTAGTAATTATTATGTTATACAATTATGATGAATAAACAAGTAACAACACAATGATATATTTTGCTTATATACAAGAATATGTTCAAATTAAAACATTGTACACATAGGGAAATGGGCCGCATTTAAACTATAGTAAATTTCTCTGATTATGTGTCAAGCCGGTGAATTTGGTCTAATAAAACCCGTCTAGAGAGCCTTCATCATATGACACTGACAGATGTGGTTGAGGTTTCATGTGCTCTTCGTTTTGTCAATTGGAAATGTCATCTATTGTTGTTACACGACTTACACGAGTAGGACAGTTTTCAAATTTTCTAAAAGTTAGCAGATTCCCTAGGCGTAAATTGAAAACAACCTAAAAACGTTGTTGACACGCGCTGAAGACTTCAGTAACTTTTTCAAACACGTTGATTTATCATTGTTTTTAAATTCTAGATAACACCCCTTCAAACTATTTAACAGAATATTATCTTCTCATGTGCTTCATAACTCACACGGACTCATCTAATTATTATCCAACTCCAGCGGGTGAGTTTTTTTTTTAACCATGGGTGGGGTCCACTATACCGGTTTACTAAAAATATGTAATAATAGGTACCTGCACCCTGTAAAATATTTAGCATTCCTGCTTGAACTAAAATACTGTAGTATCTTTTCACGTTGAAATAGTACCTACCTATGTAGACTATAGAGACGGTGAAACTTTTTCCTTAAAGTCGACGAACTGTGGATGGTGATGATTTTTTTTTTAATTATCACACTCAAAATGTTTACCACAGTTTACTGAACGAATAAATATTTGTCAATAAGGGATTAACGTAAAGTAAAAAATTATTGCATAGAGAACATAATATTATATTCACCGATAAACAAATCATTCAATTAAATACACTGCCCTGAGTTTTGTAGTTTGCCTATACAAAAACTATCTAATATAATATGCAAGCCTGGGCACAAACAAGTTAAAAAGTTAAAACTAAGTTAATTTCAACTTTTTAAGTTTAAGTTTCATTAACTTCATAATTAACTTAACTGATTTTTATTTTTATAAACTTAATAAATAACGAGTTAATTGTATGTTGCCAGTTCACACGTGTTGACAAACCATCTTCGTTGTTTGTTTTTGTGCACGAAAACAAAACGAAAAACCTTGTTTATCATATCACTCTCTACCGATTTAGGTACCATGAAATAAATTACAATGCAATTTGAACTATATGTGTTTTATTATCTGAAGGCTTTAAATTGGGGCGTGACGAGAGTTAGTTATTTTTTATACTACACAATTCACTAGAAATATATGGCAAAAGAACGTTTTCCGGGTCAGCTAGTACAATATAGTTCTGCTAAAATACCTAAACGTCCAATAAAATTATTTTTTGGCCGAAATGAGGATCGGACGCAATTTTTTTCGGATTTTATATGCACTCTCAACTGTAGGTACGGCTTAAAGTCTTTCTTCTCACTGATCTTCCTATTCTTCTTCAACATTCTCTATCGGTGGGAAAAAAAATGATGTCTCAAAAATATAAATCAAAATATTAATGGAACCACGTATCAATTCTATAAAATAATAACAAAAAATATGAATTAAAATGTAAAATATATATTATAGTGACCATAGTTTATAGAACTTTTAATTCCAATTCTCCTTAGGTCACACTCACGGCTGAACTCACTCGTAGGTTATTCAAACCAGTCGATACGTGGCCGTCATTCCGGTCAGCGGTGCGGTGCGGTGAATGTTTTGAGGCGCTTGTCCGTCGAATCCAGTTGAGCCAGTTGACCTCGAACTTTCGTAGTTTAACCAACATTTGG